TCACAAATTCTGACTTCACTCTTTTCCTACATCCTTTCATTCATACATCTTTTTTACATATCCACAAAGAAAAAGAAGGTGGAGAAGAAGAAAGAGAAGAAAAGGAATCTTTTTGAGGTTTTTATACCTGATGGATATATTCTCATCAGGTGGTGGTGCTTTGCTAACAACAAAAATCGTCACGTTCAACTAGCATCCCCAACAGGGTGCTTAAGGTTATAATTGTGACTTGGTTATGTGCACCATATAAAACAGCTTAGCACTGACACCACCAAGAGCCCTGAAACAGACTCCTGCAGTGTTGATGCAGACAGATCCAAATTCTGTCCCAACCAGCCACAAAGTCATCTACCGGTGAGCTAAATAGTGACCCCATCACTGATGCACTTATCTTCCCACCAGTTAAAATAAAAAAACCTTACATAACTTATGTGACACCGCACATAATTTAGGAGCCATAAATATACAAGGTAAAGATGTGTCTTGTTTCAGCCATTTCTGAAACATAAGTCAGTCAATATTTTACTAATTAGTGTCTATATTATGAATTCACATACTGCCAAATAAATCACGTTGGCACTACGCCAAAGACACCTTAAGTGCAAATTTGACCCATCTGCTTCACACAGACAACATCATGTAGCAGATCCCTTGCAGAACATAGCTCTCATCACGGTCTGTCTGAAAGAAACTCGGTCTCTCGCCAGCTCTCCTGCCTCGTGTACTTTCATATACAAGGAGTCACTCATATCCTGTGACCATCTTCATCTTGATCATCCCCTGCCCCTCCTTTCTGGTATCATGCCTTCCACTATTGTCTTTTTTAATCCGCTGTGGCGCTTGATATGACCAAAAAATTTCGACTTCTGAGACAAGATGCTGTTTATTAGCCAATCTTTCCTGATGTTCAGATCTTTAAAAATGTCAGTATTTCTTCTCGTCTTTGTCCATGGTATTCTGAGACTCCTTCAGCTTAAAAGCCCTTATTTTATTTCTTAAGCACAGGGATATGGTCCACGACTCGCATCCATAAATTCTACAGGAAAGATGCATGCTCTCAAAATTTTATTTTTTTCCCTTGCTGGTGCTTAACCAGACTTTAAATGCGGTTTAATCTGTGAAATGCTATGGCCCTCCTCTTTTTTTTTATTTCTGTCAAACAGCCTTCGCTGCTATTTATCATAGAGCCTAGATATTCAAAGCTTGTCCTAAAGGCACCAGGGCTGTCACTTTACAATATGTCAAATGCAGAAATGTGGATTCCTACTGCAAACAGGTGATAATGAATTTAGTTTTTATCCCTGCGTGAGCTCTGGGGCCCTGTTGTTGGAGAAAACAAAGAATAGACTGGCCACTGCCTCCCCAACAAGTGTGTCATAAGAGTCAACGAATTAGGGGTTTTCTTCAAAATCAGACTACATCTGCTTGAGAGGCAAGGAACCAACAGGCTGTGTACAAATAAGCCAGATCTGTAAAACGAATGTGCATGTAAAGCTCAAGTCCTGGAACAAGACTCAAGTCCAGAACTGGACAAACAACCGCAATTTCCTGCCAGAGTTTACAGCTGGTTACAGCTGAGAAGATGAAGACAGACTAGCTGGATCTGCACCGCTGTTTGGTGAACTGATACATGACAAGACAGATTGGCAGATCTGTGCCGCTGTTTGGTGAACTGATACATGACAAGACAGATTGGCAGATCTGTGCCGCTGTTTGGTGAACTGATACATGACAAGACAGATCTGTGCCGCTGTTTGGTGAACTGATACATGACAAGACAGATTGGCAGATCTGCGCCGCTGTTTGGTGAACTGATATATGACAAGACAGATTGGCAGATCTGCGCCGCTGTTTGGTGAACTGATATATGACAAGACAGATTGGTGGGGGTAGTGAATCCGCATCACTCGCCAGAATGATAGGCTTCAGAGTTAACTCTTTCAGGCCCATGAATTTTGACAGTCTTGGCTCACATTAATTTTGCTTCACAAAAACGGCAAAGAGGGTGGTGTACAATAAAGTGAATAGAGAATTTAGTATATTTATAATCCCTACAAAAGTATATATTTTTGTAAAGAGGAATGAATATACAATACGACAAGACAGATTGGCGGATCTGCGCCGCTGTTTGGTGAATTGGTACATGACAAGGCAGATGTGGTCAAGGCCCTTTGGGAACAAGCAACGGAATCAGTAGAGACACAAGATTATTATGGCCTAGAGAGAATGAGGCACCTGGTGTAACCAGAGGGTCTGGCCGGCTCACTACACTTAGAGGAAAGGCAAGACGGACATATGACCAGATTGTGACCGGTACTATCAGTATTGCAACTCTGTGCTGGCTACTGAAAATGAGGACAGAGCACACATGGAAATGCCCTGAGTGCTGGGATGTCAATTCTTGACTCAACTCAAATCTTTGCTCAGATGAAAAAGAATTCCTATTCCAAACAGGTCCAAATAAATTTACATAATTTTGCGAGAGATCTAACTGTTCAAACGTGATTTTTTTTGGACAGAAGGATTTGGAGCGTATGTCTTCTTTTTTCTTCTCACTGATACCAGGTTGTGGCCCAGTGTCGTGGTTGTGTCGTCTCACTGATACCAGGTTGTGGCCCAGTATCGTGGTTGTGTCTTCTCACTGATACCAGGTTGTGGCCCAGTGTCGTGGTTGTGTCTTCTCACTGATACCAGGTTGTGGCCCAGTGTCGTGGTTGTGTCTTCTCACTGATCCCAGGTTGTGGCCCAGTGTCGTGGTTGTGTCCTCTCACTGATACCAGGTTGTGGCCCAGTGTCGTGATTGTGTCTTCTCACTGATACCAGGTTGTGGCCCAGTGTCGTGGTTGTGTCGTCTCACTGATACCAGGTTGTGGCCCAGTGTCGTGGTTGTGTCTTCTCACTGATCCCAGGTTGTGGCCCAGTGTCGTGGTTGTGTCCTCTCACTGATACCAGGTTGTGGCCCAGTGTCGTGGTTGTGTCCTCTCACTGATACCAGGTTGTGGCCCAGTGTCGTGATTGTGTCTTCTCACTGATCCCAGGTTGTGGCCCAGTGTCGTGGTTGTGTCTTCTCACTGATACCAGGTTGTGGCCCAGTGTCGTGGTTGTGTCTTCTCACTGATCCCAGGTTGTGGCCCAGTGTCGTGGTTGTGTCTTCTCACTGATCCCAGGTTGTGGCCCAGTGTCGTGGTTGTGTCTTCTCACTGATCCCAGGTTGTGGCCCAGTGTCGTGGTTGTGTCTTCTCACTGATCCCAGGTTGTGGCCCAGTGTCGTGGTTGTGTCTTCTCACTGATACCAGGTTGTGGCCCAGTGTCGTGATTGTGTCTTCTCACTGATACCAGGTTGTGGCCCAGTGTCGTGGTTGTGTCGTCTCACTGATACCAGGTTGTGGCCCAGTGTCGTGGTTGTGTCTTCTCACTGATCCCAGGTTGTGGCCCAGTGTCGTGATTGTGTCTTCTCACTGATACCAGGTTGTGGCCCAGTGTCGTCTCACTGATACCAGGTTGTGGCCCAGTGTCGTGGTTGTGTCGTCTCACTGATACCAGGTTGTGGCCCAGTGTCGTGGTTGTGTCGTCTCACTGATACCAGGTTGTGGCCCAGTGTCGTGGTTGTGTCGTCTCACTGATACCAGGTTGTGGCCCAGTGTCGTGGTTGTGTCGTCTCACTGATACCAGGTTGTGGCCCAGTGTCGTCTCACTGATACCAGGTTGTGGCCCAGTGTCGTCTCACTGATACCAGGTTGTGGCCCAGTGTCGTGGTTGTGTCGTCTCACTGATACCAGGTTGTGGCCCAGTGTCGTGGTTGTGTCGTCTCACTGATCCCAGGTTGTGGCCCAGTGTCGTGGTTGTGTCCTCTCACTGATACCAGGTTGTGGCCCAGTGTCGTGGTTGTGTCCTCTCACTGATACCAGGTTGTGGCCCAGTGTCGTCTCACTGATACCAGGTTGTGGCCCAGTGTCGTGATTTTCTGTATTTGTCATGCGCTTTCTTGGCTGGCTTGGAAGGTGGTTTTGCTCATCATTATTCAGGTTTCAGTTACATTATTTATCCATCTCTTTCCTGGTCTTCCCCTTGCTTTCCTCCCAGATGTTCTGCTACAAAAAACATCTCATGCACCGTTTGGTCTGGCTGTAAGTAATCTCACTAGATGACTGAACAATTTAATTCTTTGTAAATATAATTAGGACGCAGCTTTATTCCAAATTTCTCTATAATATTAGTATTCGTAACCCTACGCCTTCTTGTATTGTTAGTGACCTTACAGAAACAGCGCATTTCATAGGTAGTTTTTTTCTGTTCTAGCGCCTTATTCACTGTCCATGTTTGGCATTGATAGCATAAGTAGGAATGAAGATGTTATTAATCATTTGTTTTGCTGGGGGAGGGGCATTTGGGTGCCTAAGCAGTGGGGCGAGCCGACAGGTTTTTGCTTTCTGTACTCTGGCTTGGGGGAGGGGACTGCGTGTTCTCGAGGCATGATGTCTGCCTCGAGTGCTAGAGGTTCCGGGTTTAATCCCTGGTATGGGCTGGGATTTTTTCATGTGGAATTGGACTTCTAGTAATTCCCCCTGGTCTCTGGGTAGTGAGATCAGACGCCCGACTGCATTGTTGCGCATGTAAAAAAATCCCTTGGCAGTTGGAAATCGAAAAGAGTAGCCTAACGGAGCTGCCCGGGCAAATTTTGGAGTTAAAAATCTACCCAAAGTATTTCAGGATCCTCGCCAGTGCCACAGAGCCTGTGCAATGTGCTGAGCTTCTTCGACTCAGACTTGAGTTAGAAGAAGAACGGAGCACTTATGGGTTACTCCCCCTGTGCCATATGTTGATCCATTGTTCAAAACCTCAAACCTGTACTCTGGCTTCTAACTGGGTACACTGGTGACTCTGGCATAATGCCAACGATCAACCCATCTGAACCCTCTTCCCAGCATTCAGAATAAAAGCACTGGCTAAAATTTGAAGAAAAAAAAACATTTTTAAAAAGGCAGTTAGCAACACATGTTTTATGTTTCTCCACTGCCATTACTGGGTGGACGAGGCGGTGGTGGTGCGGTTGAAGATGTAGATTCTGGTTTTTCAGACTCTAGTAAAAGACGGATCTGCTGTCTGGAAGATTCGAGAAAGACATCCAAGCTGGCAAGATGTCGTCTTCTGACCCTGGAGTCAGCCTGATTTTTTGGGAATGTGGAGACAAATTGAGTTTTAAAAGTGATAAAGGCTACTAAAGGTAATAAAAACTATTTTAAATACAGTAATACTATGTTTCACTAATATAGAGCTTTAGGAGAGAACTAAGGAAGCTCCAGTGGACCAAGAGGTGAAGAAAAGATGCTGGCGGAAAGGACACAGACTGAGGAAAACCAGAGAACAATTTAAATAGAATGTCTTTGCATTTGAACTCACAGGGGCACAGGAATAAAGGAAGGCCAAAAACACATGGAGAAGGGAGCTGGAGAATGAAGTTAGAAAGATGGGGAGGACATGGGGAGAGCTGCATGCGATAGCAAAAGATAGAACAACTTGGCGTGAGTTGCTTGAAGGCCTACGCTTCATTGGAGGGTAGAAAGGCAGAAGAAGAAGACGAAGAAATACCTTGTTAACACTAATTACAAGGGATAGAAAAACTTAGGGTCCATGTTAAAAGAATTTCTGGCTAACCGAGGCCGTCTTCTTTCTTCTTCTACATTTGCCTTTGAAAAGGTTGGTTAGCATTTATGTTGTAGTTTACTGCTAGGCTGTGATATCTGTGCCCATGAGCCCAACACATCTAATTTCAGCTAAACCCTGATTAGTCAGCTCTTATGACATGCTTGTTATGGGGCAGCAGGTCTGTATTGTTTCCCTCCAAAATAAAGTTCTGGAACCCACAAGTGGGTAACCGAGGTCTAGAAATCATACCAAAAATCTGTTAATGTTAACCAACTGTTCTTCTTAAGTGACCTCATCTTAACAAGAGCTTACTGTTTACTAAAAGTTTCAGTAAACACTTCTTTATTTTTTTAATATATTATTTCAGTCTAAAGCTAAGAAAGACTAACAGGTAAATTTGGTCAAGAACTGACACAATACTCAAGAAATTCCCATAAGCACTCTGTCCTCATCTTCAGCAGCTAGTACAAGAGTTAAAATACAAAAAATTGTTAGCTCCAGCCTAATTATGTGTCCATCTTGGCTTTTCTTAGTCTTAGTCAAGGTTTCAACTTCACCACAATTGGGTCACCCCATACTTGCTCCATTCATGTGCCAGTGAAAATCAAATGAAATGTCCCTCACTCCCCGCATTTGAAAAACCGGTGACCAAACAATTAGTCCTGGGACAATCCAGAAATATGCACACACAGTAAATGCATATGGCAGTTGCTAGAGGTGCCAAAGCCAACAGTTAACACCAGAAATGAAATGTGTCATTGATGGAAGTATTTTCCCTCAACTGTTGAGCATCAGTTAGCTGCTCTGGTGACTCCCCATTTCATCATCTGCTCCAGACTACAATGGTTTATTCTTGCAACTTCAAATAAGAAACTGACAACTACTTGGAGATCTACCAGTGGCTCTCAACCTTCCTAATGCAGCGACCCTCTAATAAAGTTTCTCATATTGTGGCGACTCCCAACCACACAATAATTTTGCTGCTACTTCATAACTTCAGTGAATATGTGTTTTCCTATGGTCTTTGGCAACCCCTGTGAAAGGTTCATTCGACTGACAAAATGGTCGCGACTCACAGGCTGAGAACCGCTGAGATATACTGTTTACCCTGTTTGGGCCACTACTTGAAGGCTGACACCATAGTGACGTCAAGAGCCACAACCAGGATGTCAATCAGAGGAGAGTCACTGCCTGTTTAACTTCCCAGGAAGCTATGATTAAGACTGCAAGTGTGGCTACTCTAAGGATCACCCTGTGAGCCCTACCATCCTAGGCGGGTGAGGATTTACTCATTTTAGCCACATATAGTTTAAAATACAATATTTCTACAGACCTGTTAGCTGCTACAACAAAGGATTTTCTTCTTCTTAGCGCTCACTGGTTATAAACTCCTGCGGAAAGTTTTGCATGCACAACTGTTTTACAAAGCTATTTGTATGCAGATTGTTTGCTATTCCTCACCTCTCAGGCAGATAATGCACTCTGACTTCAAAGGAAAGGTCACTAATTAGTAAACTCTTACAATATGCTTGTTGGGGGCAATGGGTCTATCCCCCCCCCCCCCCACAATGAGGCGTCAGGAGCCACATGGAAAACTTCTTCTTTTTCATCTGTCCTACAATTAATTCTGTAAAGCATCACACAGAGGAGTTAGATGTAGTTTTCTGCCCTTTGCTAGTTGTGTAGTTTGTGTTAATGTCATACTGCATTTCTGAGTGTCTCTTTTACTCCCTCCACCCATCTCTTTCTTGGTTGGCCTCTTGACCTGTAGCGTGCTATTCTCATGTAGTTTTCTGCCTTTTGCTAGTTGTGTAGTTTGTGTTAATGTCATACTGCATTTCTGAGTGTCTCTTTTACTCCCTCCACCCATCTCTTTCTTGGTTGGCCTCTTGACCTGTAGCCTGCTATTCTCATGTATGCCCCAACTGCTGGCTGATTTTGTTCTAGTCTGACCAGATGACAAAACCATTAAATTCTCTGATAATCTATGATATCATTTACATGGGAAACCACAAACACAAATCTCAAACCTGTCTCTGTTCCTCAATATATGACCGTACGTCCACCATGGAGGAATCTAATGCTGACCTAATGGCTGCTCTTCCCCGCTCTCTCTCTTCACTTACCATGAGAGTTATCTGCTCCTGCAGCAAAGCAGCAGATTGGTGTTATACACAGACATAAATAAGAAGTTAAAACAGTTTAGAGTGAGTGGTGGTTCCGAAGTAGCTAAGACCCTAGGACATATTTTAGAAGGTCTGCCACAAACCACATACATAGTTTTTTTAATAGTCACATTAAAAAACAAACAAACAAACAGATAGAGTAAATTTACAAAAATCTTTATAACAAATTAGTTTAGTTATCCTCATATGAGTTCTGAGGCCCCATGTGGGACAAGAACACACCTATTGCCTCCCCAACAAGTATGTCGTAAGAGTTGACTAAATGGGGCATCCCTCTAAGCTCGAGTGTATCTGCCTGAGAAGCAAGAAACCAACAGTCTGCATACAAATATGTATTATGAATGTGCACACCATACTCAGGTTCTGGAACAAGACCATAGACCAGAAGTAGACGAACAACCTGAACTCTCCACTAGAGTTTACAGCCCATGAACGCAAAGAAGAAGAAGTTGCGTTATAAAGTACAGGCTCGTAACGTTTCGAATACATATCATGGGCAAAATCATGTTTGTTTTTGTATTATACAACTCCTTCAACATCTGGTTCTATATTTCTGTAGTGAGTCATTTTCTCCTCATTAAGTTATGCCCGATAGATGACGTCAGTAATAAATGTAAGGCGAATGTTTTGACTGACTGAGATAACACGAGATTTATGTCTTGAGTTTCATGAGAGACATCTGAAAGTAAGGTTTTATGTGTTGTTGTTGTTCACGTGAACCATGAAGGTGGACTGGCAGGATTCGTGTGAAATGCGAATTATCACGGGCCAGACACGACTTTCAACGGTGGGAAATTCGTGAGAATGAAATTATCCAGAATATTCGAGAACATGACAGATCAGAGGGAAGGTGTATGTGTTCGGAAGAATGTTGACGTCTGAATAGCGTGATTTCCCAATGCCTACCTGGCATAAAATAGCGGCTGATGGAAACGGTGGCCAGCTGTGAATGACTGTCGTCTGGATGGAGAGAGCTACTGTGTTTCGCTAAGTTGTGTGAATTTTACGATGTTACAAAGGTATGATTGACTGTTTAGAGCATTAAATTAATAATCGATGAGTGATATTGTCGTGTATAAACATTTACTGACTGCAACATCAGCGAGGGAAAATAAACAGTACGTGTAACTTCTGAACGTCTGCCAGCGTCCATGTGTTCTTGTTCTTGTCAGTTGGTGAATGGAAAGATGCGGTGACTCATTCGAGCCAGCAATTAATAACAATGAAGATCACTGCAGAATGGGAGCTCGTCCAAACATTTGAGGATAGGAAAGTTGTTTCGTACAGTAAAATCTGAGACATTGGAAATTAGTTTAAGTTATCAACCTGACGTCGGGTAGTACCAGTTCAACTACGAACGTAAGCGGGGAAGATCGATGGCGACATAACAACAACCCATATTCGATAGTTCACAGATTGAACAACGTTCGAACAAATTCCAGGCTCTGAATACTGATTAGACAAGTCCACGTTTTAAGTTTCGACCAAGTAATCAACAATCAACAAAGATGCAAGGGAAAGATTGCAGACAGTGACAGTGTCAAAGAGCAATCATTAATGTTAGCAAAGGAATACAACAGTAAGTCTACACAGAGATGATGTGAGACTAGGGCTGCCCCTCTGCAAAACGTCCGAAGCCTTGTTGTTTGATCAAATTTTGCTGCCGACTAAAGTGTGGTAAAGTGTAGTGGGAAATCTACACAGAGAAGCGTCGACACCAGATCCTGTTTTTCGGATCTGTTTTTTCAAAACATAGAAAGACAGTGAAACACCGGGTAGAGTGTTAACTGTACGGAAATCAAAAGAACCACAGCTCTGACAGCTAACTTAAATCAGGAACAAAACAGATGCGATTTGTATGTTCATAATTGTATGATACAATCAGATACAGGTTACTAAGAAATCATTATTAAGATTTTACTAAAGCTACAACCTCAACGCTATCAATTCAACTGTTACTGAGGTTATTCTGGTATTTGACTAGCTTATATAGCTACCTACGCTCGAGTGCGGATCGGAAGGTCATGGGTTCGCTCGCTGGCAAAGCCGGACTTTTTTCAAAAATGACATCGCCTCCCAGGTTGACTCAGCCTTGAGTGGGTACCGGGTGCAGTCACAGGAAGTAAAGGTGGCAGACCTGATGCTGACCACATTACCCATCTTGTGCTGATTGGTCTATAAAATTATAGGTCTAGCCCTCTATGCCTAAAGGCATGGAAAAGGGATCTTTACTTTTTTACTTTTATATAGCTAGTTAGTATTCAGCAGAGTCTTAGACAGTTCTAGAAGTTCACCACTAATGTTCAGCAGAGTTTGAGATAATTTCAGATCACCATTAGAGTTCAGCAGAGTATGAGACAGTTTCAGAAGTTAACCATTAGAGATAAGTAGAATTTGAGACAGTTCTAGAGGTTAACCATTATAATTCAATAGAGTTTGAGACAGTTCCAGAAGTTAACCATTAGAATTCAGTAGAGTTTGAGATAGTTCCAGAAGTTAACCATTAGAGTTCAGTACAGTTTGAGACAGTTCCAGAAGTTAACCATTAGAGTTAAGTAGAATTTGAGACAGTTCCAGGGGTTAACCATTAGAATTCGGTAGAGTTTGAGACAGTTCCAGAAGTTAACCATTAGAATTCAGTAGAGTTTGAGATAGTTCCAGAAGTTAACCATTAGAGTTCAGTACAGTTTGAGACAGTTTTAATTTTTCCCCTCTAGAGCTCAGCAGAAATTGAGACAGTTTGTGATGTTCACTATAAGAGTTCAAATGAGGCTGAGGCAGTTCCAGAAGTTCTTGATTAGAGTTTAGTACAGCCTGAGGTATTTTGAGAAGTTCACTGTTAGAGTTCAATAAAGTTTGAGGTAGTTTGATAAGTTCACAGTTCAGTAGACTTTAAGGCAGTTTGCAAAGTTCACCATTGTAGTTCAAGATAATCAGAGATAGTCTGAGACCGCTCTCTACTGAGAGAATAAGAACTAACTAGTTATTATTTGAGAGCACCATTGAGTAGCTGCTAGCACTCACTTGAGGGTCTAAAAGTCATAGGTTCAAATCCAAACATAGCCAGACTTTAAAAAAAAAGTATTACCTTGGCTCCCAGGTCAACAAACCTTAAATAAGCACCAGGTAAAAGTCTTGGGAAGTAAAGGCAGCTGACGTGATGTAGATCATATCACCACCCAGTATGCCATTTGGTCTATAAAAAATAGGTCTAGCCCTATATGACTGATAAGTGGAAAAGGATCCACTACTTTAAGCTGAAATTTGTACCTTCACCAACATACTGGCTGAAAATAGGCTTTCATAGTAAAGAACTTCATGGGTGGATGTTGTGTGCTATCTGGGTTACACAATAATCAGCACACGACCAAGTGTCCACAGGTACGGATATTCACTTGACACACTGAGTTACCACACGACACTGTCAGCTCCGTCATTCAATAGGTTTATTCAACAGAACACAAGAGGGTATTCACAAGCTCTCACACCAACAGCTCGGCATATTCAGAGACGTAGACAATGATCCTAATTGGCATACACACATAGTCCACACAGTCCTCACTCTCTCTGTTCTAACTTGTTGCAATCTCTCCCTAACCACTACAGCTCATAAGGTCTACAGCGTCCCACAACTCTGGGTTCGCTGTACAGAAAAACAGGAACACCTCCCCTATTAACTGGACCTTAATATTACTTTAGTAGTCACGTCGGCTGACTGGAAGGGACCTCGTTCTCCAGCATGTGCTCACAGCACATCAGCCTGTTGAAGGACTCCGATGACCGACAGGACTAATGTGCGCTCGTTGGCATCCCTACTGTTCTGTTTCCATGGTGATCCTACGTCTCCTTGTGCGGTCACCCAAAACAGTCACTATTGGAGCATCCAGTCTCCTTGGCCTTACTTCGCCAGCGGGACTATACTTTCGACCTTGCTGTCTGATAGGTGCACAGTATTCTGTCTCACTCGAGAGATACTGACTCTGACTTGGTCTCTCTCTCTCTCTGCCTCAGACTCTCACACAGAACTCTCGTGCTGGGTGTGTACTACACCCGCACTCCTTCCCCAGTACGTTAGCTCTCTGGCTGCAGCTCACTGACTCGGACTGTCTATGCAGCCCCAATATATCCATGCCGAACCCATGTGGGCGGCTGATGTTACACGAGACGCACGCTCGTGTGGGCGTTCTCAGGACTCATGCTCGTGTGGGCGTTCTCGAGACTCACATTCATGTGGGCGTTCTCGAGAATCACGCTTATGTGGGTGGCTGATGTTACATGAGAATCACGCTGTCACGTAATTCATCCTTTCTCTGTGCCCCTCGTTAGCCATGCTTGTCAGCCATCACTGTGAACCCACGCATCTACTTTCACGTGACACACTTCTCACTGGTCAACATTCTCTCCCCCTCACTACTCGGGCCAATGTTTACACTGTTCATGGGACATTCCATTGAACTTCCGGAAAGTACTATTATACCACGCTGTCCCTTCACACAATATTACACTCTCCCAAATCAGCACACAACAGTGGGAAAGCCTTGTTCTGAGGGCCTCTGTGGCAAACTGGTCTATGAACGTTGTGGTACGACACATGTTTACTGATCCATTCAGCTTGGTTTCCACTAAATGTCCATGATTCATGTCTATACGTTAAGACTGGGTCTATCTAGCTCTTAGAAGCCTCGGTGGTGTCGCAGCTAGACAGTCACCATTATCTCTTTGGGATAGAAGAAAAAGTAACAATTGCTGGGTCACTATCCGGCTACTTACCTGGGCCAACCTCTTTTCCTCTTCCCGGACTGCTTTCAGGGCCAATTCATGACTCTGTCTCTCTTCCTCAAGTTTTTGAGAGTAAGCTCCCTGTTGAAATATTTTTATGGTTTATGAAAACTCAATGGTTGTTTCAATATATCTACTGTATTACATGACTGGCCTAAGTGGTCACAATAAAATGAGAAAATTGAGCTATCTTAAGAAGCTGCCTTGCAAGCAGTGGATAGATGGAATATGCGAGGCTGTAAATACCAGCATCTTTAATCACATACTAAGGCTAGCAACCAATGCTTCTTTAAAACATAATGCTGAAATGCAGAATAGGACTAGAGAAGAAGAAGAAGCTACTTTAGTAGAGCAGCTAGAGTAACATTAACCCTGTCAACTCCTGGGAACACTAAAAATGGGTCAGGACCCTGTGGAAAATCCCTCCCCACACCAAAAAAAATTCCTTTAAGAAAAATTGTACACAGGTCATAAATAAATTTACTGCAATTTTTAGTAAATGTTTTCATATCTGGGCCAAAAAAGCAATGTGCAGAGGCAAACAGAACCAAAAATATGAAATTATACTTCTCAGAAAAAAGTCACTATGGCCAGGCCAGTTTCAGGACATTTAAGGGGAACTAGACCAACTGGAAGTCACGGTTTACATATTTTCTGGATGACAGGGTTGAGGGATAAGACTCCTTTTTTTTCAACAATCTCTGATCATCTTTTCATCCCTAATGGGCCATAAACTTGGACAACAGCTTGAGGTCTCTCAGATTTTCTTAAGGCTTGGTTACCAGGTCTACCGGATCCCCATGTGGGTTATGGGGCCTCATTTTAGGGGGGAAAAGAACAGACCCATATGCTTGTCCTAAAAGGTGTTTTCCTTCGAAGGTGGAATTCATCCGTCTCAGAGGTAAAAAGCTTGTTAAGGGGTAGTAAGTCTATTCAGTTTGTTTCACACTCTCTTCTTCTTTTTCTTCTTTGCTTCGGTTTCGTATGCTCTGACCATCAGGTGGGTTGCCTCTTTAAACTCGCATGTCAGTAGCACGTCCTTCATGGTCCCCCATATCTTGCTCTGCACATTTTGCTTGTGAAGCCAGGTGTATTTTCGAAAGCTGTAAGTAGAGTGGGCAGGTCTCTCTCACAACAATAGGAGCTGCAAACATACAGGGAGTACAGTGAACATGATCCTCCTGAATTAACATTTCTTTTTATCTACTGCTGTCCCGCTTATGCTGAAAACTATATTGAGGCAGACTGTGACTGTATGTGTGTGCATAGAATTACCGCTGGCTCTCAGGTCGACCCAACATAATATGGGTACTAGGTAATTTCCTTGGGAAAAGGATGCTGAGTTGATGTTGACCACATCTCCCAATGAGTGCCAAATGGCCTTCGAAAATACAGGTTTGGTATTATATGCCCAATGCAGAAGGGTTCTTTTATCTAGGAATTGTTCTCTTTGTCTCTCCTGTGTCTTCCCCCCCGGATCAAACTTCACAATCGTTAATAAGATTTCATGTTTCCTTTTCTTCACCACATGCCTAAAACATCTTGACTGTCTACATCTAATTTCTCCAATTAATTTTCATCCATTTATGCCAGCCATCAAGAGTGCCAACACAAACAGTCCGCCATTAGGATTGCAGATTATTGTCAATGAAAATAGTGGTCAAACAAATCAGCACTAGCACGCACATAAGGCACTGCCAGTTGGGTGGCAACAGGTGGCCTGCCATTTTCTGAATCTGTAGTTTTCATGCTAAATCCTGGGCATTGTGAAAAAGCATTCCACATAAAATCCATAGCTCACAGTGTCGCATCATACACTCAACTCAGTAGCTGGGCGATGGTACTATTTACTTTCAGTCCATATATGGAGGAAAGTGCAGCAGAAAGCTGTGGCCAGAAGCAAACAATATGCCAAAACTTCATTATGTACTGCCTATCTGCCATATTGGATCAGAAGTCCAAATCAGTTATAAAGAATCAAGAACATGTTTTTACCTCAAGTTCTCTTAACCTAGCTTCTGTTTTCTCTTGCTGTTCTGCGACAGCTTTCTGAAATCTTTCCTGGGTTGCAGTTCTTTCTGCCTGTTTGAGTGAAAGAAGCCAAAATAGTTATTAGTATCAGAAAAGTAATAATACAAAGAGCCAAAATAATGAACACAAAATAAAGGTTGTGAACACAATAAAACAAACAGTGGAAAGTTATGGCTATTTGTCAACTTTTATTCTAGGTTGTTTACATCTATTTTACAGCTTTGGCCTAGGCCTATTTGTATGCAGACTGTTGGTTCCTGGTTTCTCAGGCAGATGCACTCTCACCTGAATAGCAGCACCCCTAAATTAGTAGATTTTAAAAATATGATTGTTGGGTGTGAGGAAAGGGGGGGGGGGGGGGGGGGGTCTAAAAGTCAAATATATAAACTGTGTTCTTTGTGCTGTGCAAAGTGGCTGGCCAAGTGGCTCTTAGCTTTCAAGCAAGAGATCGGGGGGGGGGGGGGGGGGGAGGTGGGGGGGGGGGGCTAAGCTGCACAGTCTGTGGCAACTACACTAACCATGCGGTCTCTGGCCAGCAACCCTCTACCCCTCCCATCCTACACTACCCTAAAAAATTTGTAAATACAGTCAGATATTTATAGCTAAGCTAAAGGCTGACCATGCAAACGATGGACAGACAGAATATTCGAGGCCGTTAAGACCAGTAGCACACACCATATGTCCCTTCACGAAGAGAATGACGTGTGTATAATCCATGTGCTATGTGAACAATTAGCATTTATATCTGACGACATTCGCTGTGGGAGACATACTAGTGTACTATGATGTTGATTTTTAATCAGTAAAACAGTTGGTGTCCTCATTATACATATTTACAGGGGGAAGCACTCTTTAGAAATAAAATGTCTGCTTACCTCAAGTGACTTTTCCTGAGCTTCCACCTGTGCTGCACGTTCTCTAGCAAGGAACACATCAAACTGCTCCTGTAATAACGCAGTCATTATGTAGGTGCTTTAAAAAAAATGCTTTAATTTATCAACAAGTGGTGCAGAACCAGCCAGTCTATCTTTCGGTTGATTTCCCATTATACCAGCAAGACTGGGAGAAAATATCCCAAGAAGGCTGCTACATGGGACCCGTCAAGTGATTCTTGCATGACCCCTACCTGTCTCCCCCTTTCTCAACATGCCCTAGTGAGTTAGTTACGATGCCTGTGTACAGCCGTTCTCAAGCTAGCAGAAGGCTGTCCTGACTGTCTCCACCTACACTGTCAAACTGGATGTTGTAGAACTCTGCGTCTGATGCTGCAGAGGTGGATGGAGCACTTATGGGAATGTCCCTAGTGCTGTAAAGTCGATTCTTAATTCAGCATTCAACAGAATACTCAAGAAGTTGATGTACTTCTTGTTCATGTATGGATTCATACACTTAACTCACCAGGACTCCGTTTTAGGGTCATAAGTTCAGGCAGGTTTGTTGCAAAGGCAATGGCTTGAACTAAGCATGTCATAAAAGGCCACCAATTTTGGGTTTACTGAAATTGGATGCGTTGGATAAACAGCAACAATTCAAGGTCTGACAATTAGGCAATGAGACTAATTCCATAAAAATGTACATAATTAACAGTAAAAGATACAACCTGTATCTGATTCAAAGTAAGCCCCTTGTGCACTGATACAGTAAGTGGCATGATCTAACAAACACTGGAACGACCTCTGTTGTTATGGGCCTTAAAGTCGATGTTACCGCCCTTTGAATGTCATCAATTTCGTTAAAGAAGCAACCTTTCAATCTTTATTTTAATTTTGGGATTAGAAAATAATCACAGGGAGACAAATCTGAGGAATAGGGTGGAAGGCTGAGAACACACACTTGTTTTTGGGCCAACAATTCTTGTTTTGATGATGGCTCTTGGGTACTCAACCAGCTGATGTTTTTGGTCATCAGACAACGAATGTGGTACAAACCGGCAAGCAACTTTTTTGCTTGCTAAAATCTTGCACTTAAATATTATGAATGGTCACTCTATTTACACCAGATTCATCTGCTATCATCCTCACAATAAAACAATGATCTTCTTGTATCTGTTCTCTGACGTTTGCAATGAGTTCATCATTATGAACAGAAATTTGGTGTCCAGGTCTAGGTGCATTAGTAATCATTTCTACACCACTTTTGAATAGTGAATGCCACCTGAAAATTTGTGCACGAGATGAACAATTATCCCTATAAACTTGTTGCATCAATTCAACTTTTTCAATGGCACTTTTTCTGACTTTTAAAAAGGATTTAATGTTAGCTTTTGGCTCCATGCTGATTAAGTAACAATGCACTTTTGACTAGGTCAACAAAATAACAGCTTGTTTGTTGTCTGCTTATCAAGCGGCGATGAAAAGTTGCCAGATCATAGATGAATGTTGCCTCTTTAGATTCCATGCTTTGTTTCATAGATGACATTTTTGTCTTGGCCATAATGAAATCAATCTCATTACTTAATTGTCGGACCTTGTATTACAGCCTACCTGTGAACCACATACAATGTCCAAACCTCCCTTTTAAAGGTGGGCATAGAAGAAGAAGGCACAGGACTGTAATGGACAGTTGAGGTAACAATAAGATCCAGAATTCAGAGGATCAAATTAGAATGCAGCCGTAACTACCAACATAGGAGATGACCTAAAAACATCAGATGTGAAAGCAAGAGGACGCCCTAGGAGAAAACGGACTGATGACATTAACTCTTTGAGTCCCAAGGAACGCATCACGCGCTCATTTTTTACTACTGGGCGGCCCAAAAAGCGCATGACGTGTGACGGTTTTTAATTTACCACTTATCGGTAATTACACGTGAACCGCTCAATTTAAACTTCCTTTCCGGTTCTCAAGTGTGTAGTGTACACACGTGGAGTGCATTCGTTTAGTTCTGGTGAGTTTTTAACGCTTTAAATCGATATTTGTGTGGTCTACTACATTACCAAACAATTGTCTGAAAACAATATGTCCGATCAGTCATCGTCTTCACGCCCATCAAAGCGATTTACTGCTTTAGAATCATCAAATTTGATAAAACAGTGGATCAGTTAAAGTAATGTAGAGTTGGATAATGAAAGTAGCGACGTGAAATTTCCCCAAACCGTTGACGAGTCAAGTTTTGATGAGGATATGTGCGTAATTTACCTCTTGCTAAGAGGACAAAACTGACTAATTCTGCCTTGGCAACACAAGAGAAGCACCTCGTAACACGACACCAGCTAGTCCAAATGTCAGCGCTTCTAGTACTTCTATCCATATCATCTAAAACCATAGATATATATCTATGAACAGATTGACATGTTTACAGTGCCTTTACAGTTTTTTTCTATGTGAGGAATTCAATTGTTTTTAGAAAAGTCACTGTTTGTGCCACTGAAGAATATATTTTGACGTGTTATGGTAGTGTTATTAAAATCGCTATGGAACAAAAACTATTGCACATTTTGCTTTAATATTGGCTGTGCATACTTATAAGTGGTGTACCTTCCTTTGTGATGTATTTTGGATATACTATATCAAGAATTTTGGGATCAGCTTCTGGGTAAGTGGAAAAAACTTTTTCATAATTTACTCACCTCTCAAACTAAGTCACTGTTTTCTCTACTAAAAACTAACTAACAGTATAATTGTTTGTTATAGCAGTATGCTAATATTAATCCTTATCCATTTATGTTTAATTTTATGTATGATATGTGTATGTTGGACATCAGCTGCAGTTGTGAGGTTTGTTTTAAAGTGCTGCATTTGTTAAAAGTCAAAATCATATTACCCCCCCCTTGGGCCCCTAGTGCAAAACCCCCTGGGACTCAAAGAGTTAAAGACATCTAAATCCCCAAAGAATGACAACAACCAATGCTACCCATCAAGCAACAGATCACAAACTGATGCTTCCCATGGCGCTTAACAGAAAACTGATAACGGTGATATGTTCAGTCCCGTCAATACGGCAAGGGAAACAATGGCTCTTCACGGATGTGGAAACCCCGTTCTGATCTTGAACATCCCACTAGTATATGAGCTCAAAGAATAGGAGAACTGCAGGTCAGTCAGGCTAAACATCCCAATTTAGTCACGCTGAACATCCCAGTCACATTGGATGGGATGCCTGAGAAGAGCTACTAGAGTAGCAAGAATAGTTAAGATAAAATAAAAATGAGGAAACTACAGGGTGTCCCAAACGTTTCCATGCACAGAAAAAATGATCACATCACAATCGCCATTACAAGCTGTGTTTACTCATGTTCCTCAATAGTGGAGGACATGTATCAAAATGTGTTTGACAAATCGATGGCAGTCATGTAGAGCAGGTTATAAAATAAACATGGTTTTCATTTTTAAAATGTTACTGTTTACTGATTTAAGAATCAACATCACAGCACACCCCAGCACAGCACACCCCAGCACAGCACATTCCAGTACAGCACAGCACAGCACAGCACATCCCAGCACAGCACACCCCAGCACAGCACACCCCAGCACAGCACACCCCAGCACAGCACATCCCAGCACAGCACATTCCAGTACAGCACATCCCAGCACAGCACACCCCAGCACAGCACATTCCAGTACAGCACACCCCAGCACAGCCCAGCCCAGCACAGCACACCCCAGCACAGCACATCCCAGCACAGCACATCCCAGCACAGCACATCCCAGAACAGCACAAAGTCGTTCAGTCTCCTGTTCTTGTAGCACACTAATTATACACACGTCACTCTCTTGCTCTCATACATCCCTTTTTTTGCCAGATTCCCACCTAATTCCTTGTTCACACTTTGATACACATGCTATTTCATCTGTTCTCTCATGTCTTCTGTCAACATTCATTCATAAATGGTCTTTACAATATCTCCCTTGTCCAGTAAAAGTTTTTCCCTAGCTATCGCTTTTGTTGCCAGAAAATCCACTCTTTCATACCCTCACACTCCTGCATATCCCGGAAAGTGCATCCACATGATTCCTTGCAATGTTGGCCGACTGATGCTTGGTATCAACTCGTGCCACATTTGTCCATTTGTAGCCACTCCACAGTACCCACTGAGAATCCGACACAATAATTCCTCTGGTAACTTTGTTTTCTGGTATCCAACACAGAGCTGCAGTGATTGCCTCCACTTCCATCCCCATGCTTGAAGTTGTAGATAAAAAAGCTCCACTTTGTTCTGGCACGATCTTTCTCTTCATTCTAGCTGAAAAACCCTAGCCTGATCTTACACCACGATGAACAGAACCATCGGTGTAGACTACTGCATCATCAAGCCCAGCTTTTTCATCTATCAGTTGTTGTACCTCTAATTCTGCCATACCGTTACACCACTTTCTACATTCTCTTCCTAAAGTAATCATTATTGTTTATTGTTCCTATGCATGGGAACTTCTTCTTCTTCTTCCTCTTTGAATTCACCGGCTATAAACTCAAGATGAAAGTTCTGGTTGTTCATCCACTTCTGGACTTCAGACTTGTTTCAGAACCTCAGTGTTATATGCGCATACGTTTTACAGATATGACTTATTTTTTGCAGACTGATGGTTCCTTGCCTCTTAGTCAGATGTGGACTTCGAAGGAAGCTCCCAATTAGTCAACTCTTACTACATGCTTTTTGGTAGGCAGGGGTCTATTCTCGTTTTCCCTATAACAGGGCCCCAGAATCCACACAGGGAGTATGTGAACTTATCTGCTGATGAGAAAGGACACGTTATTTCTCATGCAAAGAGAAGGGATTAACATCAGGTTTAACTGACCTGTTGCTGTTGGCGAGATTCCTCCACAGCCCTATCAATCCTTAGCCCAAGCTCCCGTCGGTCATCTTCTTTTTGCTGCTCGTGTAGCTCTTGCTGAGGAGGTTAGTCACATGATTTCAGAGCTCATTTTAAAACATACATAGGCTGAATCAATAAATCCAGGATCCTTCAATGTGTTGATCTTGTAGGAACAGTTCATGACAGACTTCAACATTCAACTCAAAATGAATAACGGTGCTTTATTAATATCTTACCCCAAGCAGGGAAAATCCACAGGTCCCGGGACAGTCTAATTTTTCAGGGGGTGGTAGATAGGATGCAGGCAGTCATGGGACCTAGGCTGCACACTCTCATGGGATGTAGGTGGGTTAGGGTTAAGGCCAGTTCTAGATGTTTTGGGGCCGTTAAAAGCATCAGAAAGCCAAGAAACCCAGTCTTACTACCCTATAAAATGTTGGACTGTCCTGTGATGTCATCTGGGGTAGGATATTAATTAAGCACCTAATTAACTACAAATTAAATGAGCATGAACTTCAGTATTTTGTTTGTAAACATTTTTTGTTGTAAGCAATGCAGTTAATATGATAAACAAAGTTCAAAGAAACTAACAAAGTGACTTTTTTTTAGAGCTGGAACAAATTAAAATTATTTATTTTAATTTTGATAATGAAAATAGTTTCAGGTTACAAGTAATTCACCATACCAGCTCAGTCATGGAATGGGTTAAATTTGTATCTTGAGGTCCCGTCATATATGCAAACCAGTCAAAGTTACCTGCAGTCGCAACATGTCTTTGAAGGCTGTCATCTGTGCGTCTAGGGTTTCTAGGAGATGTCGCTGGGCAACCTCTTTCTCCTCCAGAACTACAGCTCTCGACTGTTCCTGTAAACAACAAGTAATAACAGTCAGCAGGTACTGTTGTAACATCTTCTTTGCTCCTGCAATAACCTTAAAAGGATGGTTGAGGCATTTCACTGTGGTTTAGAGCTAGGCTGGAAGACGCTGTGATGTTGTGGCTAGACACTCGTCTAGGGATCTGAAGGTCATGGGTTCAAATCCAATCTGAGCTGGACATTTATATTTCAAAAATGATCTTGGCTAACAGGTTAATCCAGCCTTAAATAGGTACCAGGTAAAGTCCTGGGAAGTAAAGACAGCCAGAGTGCTGATGACCACATCACCCATCCAGTGTCGACTAATATGCAAATATAGGTCTAGCCCTATATACCCAATACACCTAAAGGTGTGAACGTCTTCTTCTTCCGCATTTGCCATTTATAGGATGGTTGGGACATTTTGCTGTGGTTTACAGCTAGGCTGCAAAATCTGTGCCTTTCAGCCCAACATATTCAATTTTAGCACACAGCCATTAAGTTTCCTTTTACGACATGCTTGTTACAGCTAACTATTCTAAATGTTCCCTGTGTGGGTTCTGGGGCTAAGTTTTAACTGTGTGGGTTCCGGGGCCCCACTGTGAGGGGAAACAAGAACAGACCCACTGCTTCCTTAACAAGCATGTCGTAAGAGTCTTTTAAATATGGGCTCCATTTGAAGTCAAGAGTCCACCTGACTGAGTGGCAAAGAACTAAAAATCTGTTACCTCAGCTTTGTTTATGTGGATCTAATATTATTCACATACACATATATATTGCATCTGTAACACAGGCTGTAACAAGGAACATAAACTGTTTAAATTACTAAAAATTACTCGCATCATGAAGGCTTTTAGGCTGAAATGGTTAGGGCATACAGAAAAAATTACAGACGACAGAATGACAAAACGTGTGTACAGAAAAGTGTACACAAAAGAACTAAATAGGACAGACCATGAGGCAGAACAAGAAGACAGTGGAGAGATAAAATATACAGGCAGACTTACAAACACTTAGAGTCACTACATGGAAAGAAAAGGATAATTACAGAGATCAACTGAGCTGCAGACAGTTGCAGCAATAAACCGCAAGGTCTTGGAATGCTGAAAGAATGAATGAACAAACTTTATTTTCCAAGGGTTATAAATTGGGCATGCAGGCCTGTCTTTCATGAGGCAATTGTATTTTAAATATCAAGCATATTATGTTGATATATCAAAATTCACAGTCTGGATGTAAAGTTAAAACACAAAAGCATAGATGACAAATGCATACTTTGAACTATACATGCACAAATACACACATTGTAAGTACACATAAGAACACACACATTCACAACATACTTACACACACAGAAACGCACACACCGATAACCAACACACAAAATAAACAGACACACACAATCTCAAACAGAGCCCATACACAACACTATACACAGACCCAACAGCATATACACGGTACACACAATCTCAGACAGAGCCCATACACAACACTATACACAGACCCAACAGCATATACACGGGCACACACAATCTCAGACAGAGCCCATACACAACACTATACACAGACCCAACAGCATATACACAGGCACACACAATCTCAGACAGAGCCCATACGCAACACTATACACAGACCCAACAGCATATACACAGACCCAACAGCATATACACAGACCCAACAGCATATACACAGACCCAACAGCATATACACAGACCCAACAGCATATACACAGACCCAACAGCATATACACAGACCTAACAGCATATACACAGACCCAACAACATATACACAGACCCAACAGCATATATACAGATGCAACAGCATATACACAGACCCAACAGCATATACACGGGCACACAAAAACCAGAAAATGACGAACACAGACTGAACAGGATATGAATCAATTTTCTTTAAATAATATATTTAAAAATATGCATATCTTTCCCACCAACATTTAAAAAAAATATTTTCAGAAATTAACAGAATGATTCAGCAAACAAGAAACATTTTACATTACCTTGTACTGTTCAACCACTACTGTAAGGGCATCGTGACCTGCCTTTCTGACTTCCTCCATCTCTTCTGTGTGCCGGGTATGAATATCCTGCAGCCTTGACCTCTGTGCAGCAAGATCACCTTTAACTCTCTCTAGTTCCTCCTCTAAGGCATGATTTCTTTCTGTCACCAAGTTCAGTCTCTGAAAGTACAATCATAACAGGAGCTTTCTCTCAGTCTCTAGATTCTTACAGTCACCGAATCGCCCCATTTTCGCTGGAACAGTGTCTTTTTTTAATTATTTTTTAAAATGTAGGTCCAAACCAAACTAAAAAAAAAAAAAAAAAAAAAAAAATTGTTTGGCTGGGGGGTGTGGGGGGATATCAACGTGATGATCTAGGCCTACCTAAGAAATGATACTATCCCGGTGCAAACGGCATGATAAGGTCACCAAACCAATACAGCAAAGTCAGAATATTTTTAATGACACTTTTCACGGCGGCAGTGTATTAGTCCTGATGTTAGATTCATATTTTTATAGACTGATGGGTGATGTGGTTGCCTTTACTTCCCATAGCCACCTTTACTTTCCATGTATTTCCTGAAAGTAAAATTATAAAGCTTTGAATGATCAGAGCTCTAGTGATTAGTACATTTACATATGGCTATGAAACGTAACAGCTGAACTCGAAAGAAGATATAAGCATTGGAAATGCAATCTTTCAGAACAATTATTGGCACAACATATAAAGACAACAACACAAATGACAAGGTTTGTTGTGTCATTACCCAGCACACTGATACCTATGAACCTCTTTTAGCTACAGTGAAAACAGTGGAAAATGCAATGGTAGGGACATGAAATAAGATCTAATGGCCTCTCAAAAATAATACTACAGGGCTCAGAAGAGGAGAAAAGGAGAACAGGCAGCCCAAGAATGACCTGGATACAGAACCTGACTGACTGATTGGACAGGCTTGCAACCAAGAACGACCTGGATACAGAACCTGACTGACTGATTGGACAGGATTGCAACCAAGAACAACCTGGATACAGAACCTGACTGACTGATTGGACAGGCTTGCAACCAAGAATGACCTAGATACAGAACCTGACTGACTGATTGGACAGGCTTGCAACCAAGAACGACCTAGATACAGAACCTGACTGACTGATTGGACAGGCTTGCAACCAAGAACGACCTGGATACAGAACCTGACTGACTGATTGGACAGGCCTTAGGCATGCAACCATGAATGACCTGGATACAGAACCTGACTGACTGACTGGACAGTGCAACCATGAAGTTCATGGCACCTGAACCTCAAAGGTGGAGGAAGCTGATCAGTCAACAGCAACTGGTGACCCAACGACACACACTGTTATTGGACTCCGCAGCTGCCTCCAGATGTAGCAAAGTCAGAATATTTGTTAAAACCCTTTTCACGGTGGCAATGCATCAGGTATGATTTTATGGATCAATGGTTGATGTAGACAACATCACACCAGATGCCTACACTTCCTATGTATTTCCTGCTAGCCATTTAAAGCTGGGTCAATTTGGGAGCAAAGGTCACTTGTGTGTATGTGTGTGCGCACACAAACAAAATCTGATGTGTGTTAATTTGAATATAAGACCTCCCAGTGTGGGTTACAGGACCCCGGGGAAGGGTGGGGGAAGTAGAGCAGACCCTCTGCCCCACCCCCACATACCTATTGTAAAAGTCATCTTATTAGGGGTGTTACTTTGAAATCTGAGTGCATCTGCCCGAGAGGTAAGTAACCAACAGTCTGTATAAAACGAGTCAGATCTGTAACACAGATGTATATGCAAAACTTCAGGCTCTGGAACTAAAGTTCAAAAGAGAACGATCAACCAGAACTTCTGCTAGAGTTTACAGCTGTTGAACGTGAAGATGAAAAAAAAAACTGTTAAAAGTCGAGCGGACTGACTTCACGGCACTAGGTTACACCATGTAGCTTGGTCTCTATCCACACAGTGAACACAAAGGAGCAGAAGAAGCTATTCAACTACATTACCAACAATCGCCTGTAAACCACATCACTCAACGAGGTTATTTATTATCTATACAGATAACTGAGTAACATAACCCTGGTGTGGATTCTGGTTGGAAAAGGGAAGGGGTGGGGGGGGGGGGGGTAGACCCACTCCCCTCAAAGAGCATGTCATAAGAGGCTACTAATTAGGGGTTTGCTGAAATAAACGGGTTAGCAGGTGTTACAGACAGGTAAGCTGTAAACCACAACATAACATTCCAATCACCTTTTAATGATAAATGCAGGAGAGGAATACAAGAACACAATGTACTACACATGTAAAGAACAGGAGCAAACTGACAGCCACATTATATGTGGCCAGGAATGCACACACTTTGGTGAGCCAAAACATTTGAATTAAGTGAATAAATTTACGCAGATAAAGTAAGCAATAAACACAAAATCAGTTTTACCTCTTGCAAAGCAGCTTCTGTTACTCTGCTGGCTTCTGACAAAGCTGATTCTGCAGGCTGTTCTTCTACAGCATTTTCCTCTGCCATATTCTCCACATTCCTTTGTGGTTCCAAAATGTTGTGCTCTTCTCTGCTAGCCGCCTCCTGTGGTTCAGCATTGGCCCAGTTGACCAAGGGCACTCCTTCCAGAGGCAGCTCAAGCAGTGGGGGGTTTTCAGCGATCAAAGCTTCTGGCAGATTCAACTCTTCAGCCTGATTGAACAGCCGATTTTCATTTATACCCAGCCCGATATCTGGAAGTCGGCCATTGGCCACGCTGTGGGCGGGAATAAAACCAGCCCCAGTGGCGCCATCTAGCGTCCCATCCAGTACATTTTCAGCTATTCGTGCCTGATCTAGCAGACCTTGGTTCTGGTGAATTTAAATCATACAGTCAACAGCAGTAGAAAACTGACAAGAGCAATAGTGTGGGTGTGGAAAGAGATGAGAGAAGAGTAAGTGAAAGAGAAGATAAGAGCAGGAGACAGAGAAGAAGGTATGAGTTGAGTTAATCTAAGTCAAGAATCAAAATTACAGCACCTAGGATATTCCCATAAGCACTCCATCCTGATCTACAACAGTCAGTTAAAAGTTCTAATTCCAGTGGTACTTACTTACTCTTAGTCACTCCTCTTCTACCTTGGGGTGTAGAGGTTTGCCAGCGAAATCACCAGACTTCTCTATCAGCAGTTTTTTATTTTAGCTTTTTCTATTCCAGTCTTCAGTGAGTCAGGGACTGTCGATTGTTGTCTTTCCAGTGGACCCTGGGTGGTCTTGGAGGTCTGGTTCCCTGGTTCTTGGCCTCCCATGCCTGCCGTAGTGGCCGATTCTCTTCAATTCTACATACATGTCCAAACCATCGAAACTGTGACTGATCCACTCGAGTTTGTAAGGCTGAATTTCAAGGTCAGGACATACTGTCTGACTGTGAACTTTGTGCCTTACTGTCACTGGACCACCTTTCTAAAATACCTCATTTCTGAGGCGTGACCAACTCCAGTGGTACCAGTAGCAATTTGAGTATATGAGAGAGGGTAAGAGAAGGAAGAAATATATTTAAGTCATTAAATACTGTTCAATTTTCATCATTAGATTAGGCTCAACCTTGGGCCTAATGAAAATCCAAGACCTAAAACATGTGGCAACAAACCGCCAGACATGGAGAGCTATGACCTCTGCCCTTTGCGACACCTAGGCTCAAGAGGAAAGATTACCTAGCTTAGTTAATTTTTCTAACTCTCTCCGCTCCTCTCTCTCTCTCACTGAAAGATCTGACCATAAACATCCTAAAATATAAATACTCCACAAGTGCTAGTGACCCTTCAGTGCTTCTTCTAATTAGCACTCATCGGCTGCAAACTCCAATTGAAAGATTTGGCTATTTGTCTACTTCTGGAATTTAGTCTTGTTTCACAACTTGAGTTTTTGTGTACGCATCTATTTTAGATCTGGCTTATTTGTATGCAGACTGTTGGTTCCTCAAGTCTCAGGCAGATGCACTCTGACTTTGAAGGAAATACCCCTAATTAGTCAACTCTTATGACATGCTTGTAAAGAAGGGACTGTGGGTCTATTCTTGTTTCCCCTACAAAGGGGCCTGGAACCCACATAGGGGGGGGGTTTTCACTTTTTTCAGTGTCCCACACTCTCTTCTCTGTTTCTTTTTCTCTATCTCTCTGTCTTTCTTTCTTGTTCTCTCTCTCTCTCTCTTTCTCTAAAATACAACTGCTGTGAGAAAGCTGAGTGTTTGGAAGGGCCAAATGTAACACGAGCCTGCGTGCCTAATTTGTAACCCTTTGAAAATAAAGTTTGTTTATTTCTCTCTTCTTGTCTCGCTCTCTCTCTCTCACTTGAACGGGGTATCAAGGATATGGCCTGTTGGTCTACAATCCAGATGGACATTTTTAATCACGGGATAGTATGGTAAACATTTAAGCAGCGGCTTCGAGAACAAACAGATCGATCAATCAACCACTAGCAGATAAAGGGACTGGTCAACAATAAGTGTGATGGATAAACAGATTCCCGGCTTTCTGATACTTTTAACTACCCAAAAATATCTAGAACTGGGCCTAACCCAAACCCACCTACATCCCATGGAGAGTGCAGCATAAGTCCCACGACTGCATGCAGCCTATCTACCAGCCATTAAAATATTCAACTGTCTGTTTGGGACGAGATATTGGGATAGAACCAATAGATGCGCTTTAATCAGGTTTCCATTAACAAATTAACATCTGATGCACTATGGTTGAAGAATATTTCAATCGTCTTCTCATACCTCTGGAAACTGGACATCAAACAAATCTGCCTGGGGTTGAACTGGTCTGTTGCCTGCTGGATAGCTGAGGTTAACATTCATGGCTTCTGTTGAAGCTCCAGATATATCAGAAGGGTCTAAGTAGGTGGGAAACCGATTCTGAGCACACAAGAGATCAGGTCGACCAGGAACATTCCCTGTATAAGGATTGTAAACAGATTCTTGAGACTGGCATGTATAAGGATTGTAAACAGAATCTAGAGACTGGCATGTATAAGGATTGTAAACAGATTCTTGAGACTGGCATGTATAAGGATTGTAAACAGATTCTTGAGACTGGCATGAATAAGGATTGTAAACAGATTCTTGAGACTGGCATGTATAAGGATTGTAAACAGATTCTTGAGACTGGCATGTATAAGGATTGTAAACAGATTCTTGAGACTGGCATGTATAAGGATTGTAAACAGAATCTTGAGAATGGCATGTATAAGGATTGTAAACAGATTCTTGAGACTGGCATGTATAAGGATTGTAAACAGATTCTTGAGACTGGCATGTATAAGGATTGTAAACAGAATCTTGAGAATGGCATGTATAAGGATTGTAAACATATTCTTGAGACTGGCATGTATAAGGATTATCAACAGATTCTTGAGACTGGCATGACAGCATATAATGAGAGCCCAATATGGCAAAATGCTTGGTAAGCAACATATAAGTCAACCACTGAACATGTTTACTGTGCATATGTGCACAAACCTGTCACTTCTTCTTCTTTGTTCACTGGCTGTAAGCTCAGGCAGAAAGCCCTGGTTGTTCGACCATTTGGACTAACTGTTGATACTTGTGGTTGCCCAAACTCATTTACTTACTTACTTAGTCTCTCCTCTTCTACCTTGGGGTGTAGAGGTTTGCCAGAGAGATTGCCAGTCGTCTCAATCAACGGTTTTCTTCCTGGCTTTGTTCCATTCCAGTCGTCTGTCAGTAAGCCCTGGATCATTCTTGTGGTCTGATTCCCTGGTTCTTAGCCTCCCATACCTGCCGTTTCTTTCCCATTCTGCATGCATGTTCGAACCATTGTAACTGTGATTGATTCACTCGAGTTTGTTAAGCCTGAGTTTCAAGATCTTGACATATTGTCTGCTTGCGCACTTTGTCCCTTATTGTCACAGACTACCTTTCTCTGATATCTCATTTTTGAAGCTGGCTTCTGGGAGCTGTGGTCACTGCCCATGACATATACCCCTATGTCAATTGCCCCTGAACATACTCCTATGTCAATTGCCCCTGACCCATACCCCTATGTCAGTTGCCCCTGAACATACTCCTATGTCAATTGCCCCTGACCCATACCCCTATGTCAGTTGCCCCTGACCCATAAACCCTATGTCAGTTGCCCCTGACCCATACCCCTATGTCAGTTGCCCCTGACCTATACCTCTATGTCAGTTGCCCCTGACCCATACCCCTATGTCAGTTGCCCCTGACCCATACCCCTATGTCAATTGCCCCTGACCCATACCCCTATGTCAGTTGCCCCTGACCTATACCTCTATGTCAGTTGCCCCTGACCCACACCCCTATGTCAGTTGCCCCTGACCCATACCCCTATGTCAGTTGCCCCTGACCCATACCCCTATGTCAGTTGCCCCTGAACATACCCCTATGTCAGTTGCCCCTGACCCATACCCCTATGTCAGTTGCCCCTGACCCATACCCCTATGTCAGTTGCCCCTGACCTATACCTCTATGTCAGTTGCCCCTGACCCATACCCCTATGTCAGTTGCCCCCGACCTATACCCCTATGTCAGTTGCCCCTGACCCATACCCCTATGTCAATTGCCCCTGACCCATACCCCTATGTCAATTGCCCCTGACCCATACCCCTATGTTAGTTGCCCCTGACCCATACCCCTATGTCAGTTGCCCCTGAACATACACCTATGTCAGTTGCCCCTGAACATACACCTATGTCAGTTGCCCCTGACCCATACCCCTATGTCAGTTGCCCCTGACCCATACCCCTATGTCAGTTGCCCCCTGACCCATACCCCTATGTCAGTTGCCCCTGACCCATACCCCTATGTCAATTGCCCCTGACCCATACCCCTATGTCAGTTGCCCCTGACCCATACCCCTATGTCAATTGCCCCTGACCCATACCCCTATGTCAGTTGCCCCTGACCCATACCCCTATGTCAGTTGCCCCTGACCCATACCCCTATGTCAGTTGCCCCTGACCCATACCCCTATGTCAGTTGCCCCTGACCCATACCCCTATGTCAATTGCCCCTGACCCATACCCCTATGTCAGTTGCCCCTGACCCATACCCCTATGTCAATTGCCCCTGACCCATACCCCTATGTCAGTTGCCCCTGAACATACACCTATGTAAGTTGCCCCTCACCCATACCCCTATGTCAGCTGCCCCTGACCCATACCCCTATGTCAGTTGCCCCTGACCATACCCCCTATGTCAGTTGCCCCTGACCCATACCCCTATGTCAGCTGCCCCTGACCCATACCCCTATGTCAGTTGCCCCTGACCCATACCCCTATGTCAGTTGCCCCTGACCCATACCCCTATGTCAGTTGCCCCTGACCCATACCCCTATGTCAGCTGCCCCTGACCCATACCCCTATGTCAGTTGCCCCTGACCCATACCCCTATGTCAATTGCCCCCTGACCCATACCCCTATGTCAGTTGCCCCTGACCCATACCCCTATGTCAATTGCCCCTGACCCATACCCCTATGTCAGTTGCCCCTGACCCATACCCCTATGTCAGTTGCCCCTGACCCATACCCCTATGTCAGTTGCCCCTGACCCATACCCCTATGTCAGTTGCCCCTGACCCATACCCCTATGTCAGTTGCCCCTGACCCATACCCCTATGTCAGTTGCCCCTGACCCATACCCCTATGTCAGTTGCCCCTGACCCATACCCCTATGTCAGTTGCCCCTGACCCATACCCCTATGTAAGTTGCCCCTGACCCATACCCCTATGTCAGTTGCCCCTGACCCATACCCCTATGTCAATTGCCCCTGACCCATACCTCTATGTCAGTTGCCCCTGACCCATACCCCTATGTCAATTGCCCCTGACCCATACCCCTATGTCAGTTGCCCCTGAACATACACCTATGTAAGTTGCCCCTCACCCATACCCCTATGTCAGCTGCCCCTGACCCATACCCCTATGTCAGTTGCCCCTGACCCATACCCCTATGTCAGTTGCCCCTGACCCATACCCCTATGTCAGTTGCCCCTGACTCATACCCCTATGTCAGTTGCCCCTGACCCATACCCACATGTCAGTTGCCCAGACACTTCTCTTATTTCTTCACCCCTCTTGAATTCAAACTTAATTTCAACATTTTCCTGAGGCATTTGCTTTCACTCCATGTCTTTAGTGGTTTCCCAATTTTCACTGGCATATGTTAAAACTGAAATAACATTAGAGCTGAAAACATGTAGCTTGCTTGGCTTTAAAACTCTACAATTTAGAGTTGAACACAGCACTGAAAATATGTAGCTTGCTTGGCTTTAAAACTCTACAATTTAGAGTTGAACACAGCACTGAAAATATGTAGCTTGCTTGGCTTTAAAACTCTACAATTTAGAGTTGAACACAGCACTGAAAATATGTAGCTTGCTTGGCTTTAAAACTCTACAATTTAGAGTTGAACACAGCACTGAAAATATGTAGCTTGCTTGGCTTTAAAACTCTACAATTTAGAGTTGAACACAGCACTGAAAACAGTAGCTTGCTTGGCTTTAAAACTCTACAATTTAGAGTTGAACACAGCACTGAAAATATGTAGCTTGCTTGGCTTTAAAACTCTACAATTTAGAGTTGAACACAGCACTGAAAACAGTAGCTTAAGACTGACACTATGGTGATGTATGATTAAAAAATTAGTTCAGACCAATGATGGGCACTCATATAGTGACAGCAGTGATGATGATAAAAAGGGTAGCAGTGATGATGAGGTAGGCATGACGAGGATGATGAATTCTGTGCAGGCTTTTTCAAAGCTGCTGTTGCCTTGCCAGTGTGTGTCGTAATTTATTTCTTTATGCTTCACTGATTAACTTTTCCTAGTCACTTCTTAAACAGACATAGTAGGAAGCGTTACTTCTCTTTGGTACTTCAATTTTAATTCCCACCAAAGGAAATCCGGGAGTTCCCGGAAAATTCCAATATTCTAGGAGTTTTATGGGCTTGGATTAGGGTTAGTTGGTGTCTCTAAGGCGGTCAGGGCTGAACAAGATCAGTTTAATGTTTCACAGAGCATGCAGGCATTCTTTTGTTAATGTCCCACCAAAATATCGGTTCAGAGTTCTTTTCAAACCATAACACTCCTAGAATACTGGTCTTTTCCCTGTGGGTTCCGGATCCCCATTGTGGGGAAATCAAGAACATTCCCACTACCTCCGCAGAAAGCATGTCATAAGAGCTGACCAACTTGGAACTTACTTTGAAGTCGGAGTGCATCTGCCTGAGCAGCAAGGAACAACCAACTGCTCACAAATTAGCCAGTAAACAGATGTACAAGCAAAACTCAGGCTCTGGAAAAAAAAAGTCCAAATGGACAAACAACCAGGACTTTCCGCAAGAGCTTACAGTTGGTCAATGAAGAAGATGAACAATACTGGACTTTCCCGGGAACTCCCAGATTTCCTTTGTTTGATGTGACTGAAAATTCAAGTACCGCTCTTCACTTGCCATCAGGTGCCTTAGCAAAAAGCATCTGGTGATCAACAATAAGTATCAAGTCATGTCTTTAAACACTGCACCTTTCTCTTTTTGTGCCATCAAGCGTTGCAGGCTAACGTCGATCAGGATCCGAGCTAGGGCCCGCTCGGTTGTTCTTAATTCTGTGATGATGTGAAGTCTCAAGGCATCAATGACTCCTTCAATTCCTCTTCTTCCTGGTTGTCCCCAACCTCTTGGTGTTTTTACTTTCATGTTGTACGCTCTCGGTACTGGGATCACTGCATTCATTCTCATTAAATGGTCAAACCATTTCAGTCTTTATTTTTCAAGAGTTTAATTATAGATTCTGTTCAAACATTTCTTGTATTTTCTTTGTTTCTCACATGAATTCTAATTTTGTTCAGTGGTCAGTCTCAATAAATGAAAAAAAAAAACTGAATGCAATGGCAAAAGGCTGTATGTACATACCTGCATTAAACAAGGCCCATGGAGATGCTGCAGCCTGAGCATGAGAAGCAGCTATATCACCTGCAGGTTCTGCAGCCTTCAGGAAAAGATCATGATAGTACAACTAGACTCCATAGTCAAAGCAGAACAGAAACAGGACTAAAGAAATCAATCACATTTTTAAAAAACATACCATTATTTTTTCATGTATAAGGCCACCCTTAATTTCTCAGCCTAAAATTAAGGAATAAATATTAGAAGCGCAATACCTATATAAGAGTTTAAACTTACAAAATTCTGGAAAACATACTGTCTTATACTGATAATAACAAGATAAGGAATGGATATAAAATCCTGCCACATACAAGTTGATAATAAGACAATCAAACAAACATAAACATATAAGTACTTGGGTGTAAACTTCAACTGCTCCAACATGCTGAGAGAAGAAATACACTCTGGAAATAAAATATACTATGTCCTTCAACATCTGCTAAAGTCAAAGCCTCTATCTCCCAAGACTAAGATCAAAATATATCAAACGTTGATAAGACCAGTTGTTTTATATGGCTCTGATACTTGCAGCACAACTTAAAGAGATGAAGCCTTATAAATTTTCAAAAAACGGTCTTACGATGAATCTTTGGACCCATCAAAGATGCAAACAGTGGGGAATGGAGAGAGAAGCAAAAACAAAATTCATAATCTGTTTAAATCACCACTGATCACTGGTATCATAAGAGCTAATAGACGGATATGGTTGGGACACACAGAGCACGACAGATGACAGTGAGGTAAAAACTGTACACACAGGGAAGCTCAATGGTCCTAGACCACAAGGCAGACTAAGAAGACGATGGAGAGATAATATCCAGACAGATCTATAAACACGTCACCAACTGGAAAGGGAAGGCCAACCAGAGAGATGAGTGGAGGTAGGTGATTTCTGCAGCAATGAACTTCAAGAGCTCAGAATGCTGAAGAAGAAGAGGAAGAATACTGTCGTATACACAGACAAATAAGGGATTTAGTTTAGTAAGTAAATGATTAATATATAAGTATACCTTACGCAATAAATACCTTTCCATTTTTTTCTGGGGGGGGGGGGGGGGGGGGGTGTGTGTCCCCAATATCTGCATTGCAGTTTAAAAGAATATAGGTCATAGTTGCCAAGCTAGGGCATGCTCGGTTGCCAAGCTAGGGCATGCTCGGTTGCCAAGCTAGGGCATGCTCGGTTGCCAAGCTAGGGCATGCTCGGTTGTCAAGCTAGGGCATGCTCGGTTGTCAAGCTAGGGCATGCTCGGTTGCCAAGCTAGGGCATGCTCGGTTGCCAAGCTAGGGCATGCTCGGTTGCCAAGCTAGGGCATGCTCGGTTGCCAAGCTAGGGCATGCTCGGTTGTCAAGCTAGGGCATGCTCGGTTGTCAAGCTAGGGCATGCTCGGTTGCCAAGCTAGGGCATGCTCGGTTGCCAAGCTAGGGCATGCTCGGTTGCCAAGCTAGGGCATGCTCGGTTGCCAAGCTAGGGCATGCTCGGTTGCCAAGCTAGGGCATGCTCGGTTGCCAAGCTAGGGCATGCTCGGTTGCCAAGCTAGGGCATGCTCGGTTGTCAAGCTAGGGCATGCTCGGTTGCCAAGCTAGGGCATGCTCGGTTGCCAAGCTAGGGCATGCTCGGTTGTCAAGCTAGGGCATGCTCGGTTGTCAAGCTAGGGCATGCTCGGTTGTCAAGCTAGGGCATGCTCGGTTGTCAAGCTAAGGCATGCTCGGATGTCAAGCTAGGGCATGCTCGGATGTCAAGCTAAGGCATGCTCGGTTGTCAAGCTAGGGCATGCTCGGTTGTCAAGCTAAGGCATGCTCGGTTGTCAAGCTAGGGCATGCTCGGTTGCCAAGCTAGGGCATTCTCGGTTGTCAAGCTAGGGCATGCTCGGTTGCCAAGCTAGGGCATGCTCGGTTGCCAAGCTAGGGCATGCTCGGTTGCCAAGCTAAGGCATGCTCGGTTGCCAAGCTAAGGCATGTTCGGCTGCCTAGTGTATTGTGATGTTGTGAAAACACAAGCTGTCAGTGACTCCTTCAATCCATGTTCTTATAGGTCTTCCCCTACATCTTGGTGTTTCCATTCTCATACTGTAAGCTCTGGCTACCAGCATAGTTGGATTCCTTCTCACCAGGCGGCCAAAGCATTTCAGTCTTTGTTTTGAAATGAATGTAATTATGGATACTGTTCCGACTGGGAGCAGACATGGAGTGGCTGCTAGATGCTCACCTGTGTATTCAAAGGTAGTGGATTCAAATCTGAACAGAGCTGGACTTTTTTTGTGACCACGCTCCCAGGTTAATCCATCCTGAAATGGGTACCAGGTGATGTCATGGGAAGTAAAGGCAGCCAGTGTGATGCTGACCAATTCACCCATCGAATCTTGCTTAGTCTATAAAATACAGATCTAGCATATATGCCCCCTGGGGATCGCTGTGGTGTAGCAGCTAGATGCTCGCCTCCAGATCAGAAGGTCTTGGGTTCAAGACCTGACTAACCTTTAAATTCTTTGTATAGCCACAGTAAGTCAACTAGATATTTTGAAAGACACTAATACCCAAATACATCTTACCAAGAACATCAGAAAAAGGCAGTATTTTGTGGTGGGGGGGGGGGGGGGGGGCAGCTACAAGGAGAGAACAAAATGAAACATCTGACAACATACATCTAAAAAAAAATTGCATCTATTGTAGTCCAGCTGGTGTAAAGACTTTCCTTAAAATACTCATAAAACAACATGAAAGCGAATGCAACTAAAATTCAAGACATTTAAGTCAGCAGAATTCCCAGTCTGCTAAATATAGAGCTGAATAATACTTGTCTGAACAAGTTAAAAATCTAGGAGGTATATACTTAGAGGATGGAAAGAATAGATGCAGAAACAGATGCCAATGAGCAAATACCAACTGACACCATTAATAGGACATCCAAACATAAGAAACAGATTATAAATAGTATTTTAATATCAAGACTGTTTAACATGTGCCAAACTTGGACACTATCAATGGCTACCCTATGTAAAATTAACACATGTAAAAAGAGATGCCTGAGGAACGCTGCCAACTTAACCACCGGAGATAAAGTAAGAAATGATATTATCAGACAGATTGTGAGAACAACATCATGCACCAAAGGATGCTAACTACCCAGGACCACTGAAGTGATGCTTGCCATTCTGCACGAAGCATGCCTGTTTTCACCTTTCTCAACATGCTCTGGCCTGTCCTATTCTGTTCTTTATCTCCGTGATACATCTTCTTTCAGATTTTATCCATGTGCCTTTGGATATTTTCTCCAGGTCACACCAGTGTGTTGGAAAATGAGCAGGCAGATAAGACTTGCTGGCTCTGCACCACTTGGTGGTGAATTGATGTATGGCAAGTTAGATATTGTGATGGCACTTTGGGAGCAAGTAAACAGTGCGGAGGCACAGATAGATCATTATGGTCTAAGGAGAATGGTGCTGCGAGGAGTTACCAGGGGATCTGGCCGACGATCAATACTCAGGGGAAGGAGATGTGACGGATATACAATCAGACGGTTCCTGGTATCATCGGAATTGGAACTCTTCGCTTGCTGCTGAAGATGGGGACTGAGAACTTAGAGGAGTGTACCGAGTGCTGTGATGCCGATTCTTAATTTAATTTTCAACATCATGCAGCAAATTCAATGAGAAATGGAAGATTGAATGGTTTGGTCATTATGTAAGAATGCAACCAAGAGCAACTAGAAACATGCACTACACTAAGAAAATCTGAGGTGAAAGCAAGAGGTCACCCTAGGAGAAAATGGACTGATTACATTAAAGACCTTTTATATCGACATGAAATTATAATAGCTTTTTGCTGCCCATCAAGCTCTGGATAACAAAATGTTCCTCCCCATGCCACTTAACAGCAAAAGTGGAAGTGATTATGATTCAATAAAGGTTACTCTACAGAGTTTTGGAAGCCATAAACAAATTTGTAATAACAGTCTTGCAACTCTGATTGTAGGATTGAACATTAAAGTTACCTACCTCAAAGCCTCCAAAATCGTTAAAATCATCTTCATCCTCAGCATTCTGGAGGGAAAAAGTGTGAATGTGAACTACGGGGGTTGATAGATATGGTAGTGGTAGAAATTATAAAATGGGTCTCAGCTTGAATAATGGGAAGACAGAAGTAATGGTGGTATCAAATGAATAAAAGTCAAAGGCGTTATTTTAGGACAAGTACAGAAATATAAGAATCTAGGCGCATGGATAACATCTGAAATAAGGTGTATTAAGGAGATAAAAAACAGAACAGAACAGGCTAAAACTGCTTTTGATAAAATAAAGGATATTTGATGCAACAAACCCATGTCACTGGAGGTTATGAAAAGAATTTGTGCATGATATTTATGACATATAGAGCCAGTTATAACATTTAGCTGTGATTCATGGATAATTGCAGCATCCGTGGCTCAGGTGTTGCAAGTCCAACTCCTAATTTCTACATGGATAATTAAAAAACAGGACAAACAATTTCTTGAGCCCTCAGAGATGTGGTTTTACACAAATATCCTTAGAATTCTATTGACAGCCAAAAAACGACAACCAAGATGTTTTGAGAAAAAGTGATGACTTGAAGATAATTTTTATCACAAACATTTTTTTTTGGGTAATGTTATGAGAAGAATGAAACATGAATATGTAAAGACAGCTGGAAAGATCTGTGGAAAGATCTGTGGAAAGACAGACAATGTGATAAGATTCATGACAGGCTTTTATGGTGGCACAGAGGAGTGTCAACACACGAACTGATATACGCAGCTGCAGATTGCCAATTGTGGAGTGACATGATCGCCCATGCCAGTCGGCAAAAGCACTTGATGATGTGAATGTGTGTATAAGCATATGTCTGTGTACACACACACACACACACACACACACACAATATATATATATCCTAGCCCACACAGGCCTGCAGGCTGCTTTAGCTGTTACAGGTGCCCTAATTATAACTTCCTTAGAGGCTGAACCAGGTATCTGGGACCTGCCAGGTTGGTCTGTCTTCCAGATTGAGATTCTTTAATCTCAGGATGGTCTGGTAAACTTTTAGGTAGGAGGGGACAGAATGATGGATCGGTTGAACACATATCAACATCATCATCATACCCAATGACATGTACATTCATGTTCACCTCTATCAAGACATTCTCTTTACCCTTCTCTATTCTTTTAGTCTATGGTGTGTGGTGTTGGTAGTCATGTCTTTATCCACAACCTTCTGTCTCACAAACTTTTATTCAGTTCTGATACAGATAGCTCTTCCATGCCGTGATGTCTAACATCTTCTCTCTCAGTCTCCCTCTGCTATCTTTTCTCCGCCAACTTGCCTACTATCATGATGTATTAATTTTCTCCTCTTCGTGAGATGACACAAGAATGTAATGTGGGCAATCAGTTCTCTTTGTGAGCCAGTTTCTTTACTTTTTAAAAAAAATCTGCACAGGGTATTCCCCTCATTCATCAATAAAACCAGATATCCGCCACTCCCACAAAAGTTGTTCCCTAATCGCCTAATCGTCCAAACACATTCTCACCACCATCTCTCGCGCTCTGCACGAGCTTGCTCTAAGTTAGTCAGTTAATATTTAAAATTAAATTGTTGTGGCTGAGTTATCAGTTAGTAGTACTTACTTCTGGGTTGCCCCTTCCTCTTGCACTGTTAGCCATTATTATGTTTGCTCAACAAGCGCCTACTTTAATCCAAGCAAAATAATCATAAAAGATCCTAGGCGCAAGCCACTCCTACATTTAAAGGCAGAACATCAGATCACATATCACAGTTTGTTATTGAGAATTTCCGTGAATGGAGGCTGCCATTTTGAAAAATAGCCTCGCGACAACTGGGTAAATAAATACAGTCCAATCATCATCATCAGGTGCCTTGCCGAATGGCGTGGGCGATCATGCCTCTCCATAATCTGCGATCTCCTGCAGCATGTATCAGTTCGGGTGCCGACACACCTCCATGCCATGCAACATGACTGTCAAGCATCTTCTCTCGTTGTCTTCCTCTATCCCTTTTTCCACAGATCTTTCCAGTGGTCACATGTTCTATTTTCCCTCTTCTTATAACATGGCCGAAAAATCATGACTGTCTCCTTCTGATGCCTGTGATAAGTTGTCTTTGGGCTCCCGCCTCTTTCAAAACCTTTTGGTTACTCTTTTTGGCTGTCCAAGGTATTCTAAGCATTCTTCTGTAAAACCACATCTCTGAGGATTCACATCCATATGTTAAAACTGGATGTATGTAGCAAGCAAGAATTCTTTTTCTAACTCTCAATGACAAGGATATATTGCACAAGATGTTTTTCATTTTATAAAATGCAGTTTTTGCCTGTCCAATTCTGTTTCTTATTTCAGTTACGCATCTTCCATCTGATGTTATCCATGAACCCAGATACTTAAATTTCTGTACTTGTCCTAAAATAACACCATTGACTTTTATTACACATTTAGGAATAATTTTTTTTTTTTTTTTTTGATACCACCATTACTTCTGTCTTCCCATTATTCAAACTGAGGCACATTCTTCCACTTTCTAACAACACAATGTCTATCATTTCCTGTAATTCTTTCTGACTTGTTGCTATCAAGCCTGTGTCATCAGCATAACGTAAATTGTTTATATTGTGCCCACCAACCACAATTCCGGGCATATCAATTAAAGATCTCATTATATATTCACTGTATTTTGAAAACAACTCAGGTGACAGTACACATCCTTGTCGTACGCCCCTCTTTATGCTTTGAAATGTACCTAAACAGTTGTTTATTCATATAGCTGCTGTTTGCTGCCAATACATATTCTTTATTATTCGTAGATCTTTCCCATCAATGTTTAATTTTTCTAACAGTTTGATTACTTCTTTATGCTTCACACAGTCAAATGCTTTTGTATAGTCTATGAAGCATAAGTACAAATCAGTCTTTACTTCTATAGCTCTTTCTGACAATGTCCTTAGGATCTAAATGGCATTGTTTGTACCTTTTCCTTCTACAAATCCACATTGTTCATCGCTGATTTCTGGTTTAATTTTGTTTCTTATTCTTCTCATAATTATTCTCAGTAAAATCTTAGTCATGTGACTCATAAGACTTATTGTGCGATGGTCTTCACATTTTAAAGTGCCTGGTTTCTTTGTCAGAGCTATAAATATTGATTTTAAAAGGTCATTTGGAATATACCCACTATTATAAATATCATTTAAAAGTTTAGTTATTATTTCAATTCCAAAATCTCCCAGTGCTTCGATTTCTTCCAGTGAGATGATGTCTGTCCCGGGTGCTTTTCCTTTCTTCGTATTTTTTTTTTTTTTTAACGTATCCAGAAACCATGAGTTGTAAACCCTTTGACTCGGTACTATGGATATCGCAACCCTTCGGCATTGATTCCATTATAGGTACCGTTAATCTGGGAGAAATGTGGCTTTTCTGCCTACCCCCGGGAGTGAACCCGGACCACAAGGAGTTCGTCACCCGGCCGCCGCGAAAGTCAGGTTTAACCAACTTCCCTAGAGAGCCGGGGCCTTTCTTCGTATGATGTATGCATCCTCAACTTCTGCAGTCATTATTGGTGGACCATCATTGTTGGTCTGCAGTTCTACATATGGTCTATTATCATCATACAATTCCCCTATATACTCTGTCCATCTGTTAATTACTATGTCCCATTAATAAGTCACCATCTTTTGATTTCAAACATCCAGTGCTGTTACGTGTCATCTTTTTTGTTAACATATTTATCTTTTGGTACATGGAATGTGAGTCTTTCCTGTGATTTTCCCCAATCTCTGTACACATTTGATTCAGCCAGGCTTCTTTAGCCAGTTTTCAGTTGTTCACTATTTCTTTTTGTATTCTAGAGTATTCTTCTTGATCATTCCTTTTCTTTCTTTTTTCATCCATCAACTGCAGAATTTCGGTTGACATCCATTTCTTTTTTGCAATTCTTTGGGTTGGTGGGATTGTCTCTTTTGATGTCTGCTGAACTGACTCACGCAACATATCCCACTGTTCATCAATAGTCTGTATAATTTCCATTGCAATATACCGGTTTTGTACAGTGACATTGTACTGTTCCCAAATTTCTTTATCCGTCCTAAGAATTCCTAAATTTAACTTGATGTGCTGAGGTGTTTTTCTAATGTTCTTTAGTTTTATTCTAATTTTTCCTACAACTGGAACATGGTCACTAAAGCAGTCTGCCCCTGGTCTAGTTTTTGCTCCAACTAAGCTGCTCCTGAATCTTCTTGAAATCAAAATATAATCAATCTGATTGCGGACATTATCACCAGGACTTTTTAAAGTCCACAATCTTCGAGGATGGTGTTTAAACCAGGTGTTACCTATTATCATGCTGCGCGACTCAGCCCATGCTATTAATCTGTCACCTCTCACATTCTTTTCTTCAAGGCCATAGCCACCCGCTATTCCGTACACTTTTTCACTTCCTACTTTCGCGTTGAAATCTCCAATTACCATTGTTACTTCACAATTTTTGCATTGATCAAAAGCCATGTCTAACTCGTCATAAAATGCGTCAATATCTTCCTCTGAACTATCTGCTGTTGGGGCATAAATCTGTACTAAGTTGGTGTCAAATGGTCTGCCGCGAAGTTTTACTAATAGTACTCTTATCTGATATTGTCCAAAATCCTTTAACAGTTTTTGAGTTTTTTGGATCCAATTTAATACCAACTAACTTACTATATTCCTTCACACCCTAGTAAATAATTCTGTGCTGGTCTGAATACTTTTCCTCTGCTCCTGGCCATCTCATTTCACTAATTCCTAATATGTTGATGTTCATTCTCTTCATTTCCATCTTGATGTTATCCAGCTTTCCGTTTTGTATGAGTGTTCTGACATTCCATGTACCAATGTTCATGATGTTTCTACCATTAACTTTTTCAATAGTAGCTGGATGACGGTCGGGTATCACCCGTAGAACATGATGCTCCCTGCCAGACGAGGTGATTCCACCGGAATCCCCATTCATGTCGTTCTCTGAATACGTATTATTTTGAGGCATGATTTTCTTGGGATAGTACAGCGGTGGTTTCCCCTTGACTTCCGCCGTTTTGTATATGGTTTGACTCCAATAGCCTTTGTCTAAAGAGACTTACCCTGCAAGGCAGCAGGGGGGAAAGGTTATGGCGCCTCTTACCCGCCGATGGCCATGTCGTAGAGTTTTGGGGTATTTTATAGAGTTAGCTGTCCCACCAACTAACTCGCCTCCTCTCAATGACCATCACCTGTTTTGGTCCACGGCCACTTATTCAATATATTCGTGGCTAACCTCTATATCTAGAGGCCTTTCCACCATCCGCCACCTGGTGGACGCGCCTAGTAGTAGGACAGGCTCCTACCCCAGGACAGTCCAATAATCAATTGTAATAATCCCAAACTTGCCATCCCTATTTCTAAAATAATAAAAGTATATTCAAATTTACACAATTTAATATGTTATATTTTATTTTGGGTATGTTATTTTATAACAACCCCCCCCCCCTCCCCCGCTGCTTCACCAACCCAATATATGCTCCCCCTTTTTCGGCATTTGCCTGGTAGCAGTTGTTTGAATCTGCATTTATTTGCATTTTCTTACCGAGTGCCGTCTTCACATTGAAGGTTGGCTCCAATCATAGGCGACGGAATCTGGAAGTCACCGCCTGGTTTGGGGTTTGAACAACGGATCAACATCATGGCCCACGGGTAGTAACCCATAAGTGCACCGTTTCTACTCAAGTCTGAGTCCGAAAAGGCTCAGCACAGTGTACATGTTCTGTAGCACCGGCGAGGATCCTGAAATACTTTGGGTAGATTTTGAACTCTAAATTTTTGCCCGGGCAACGTCGTTGGGCTACTCGATTTTTCGATTTTGAACTGTAAATTGAGTTTGTTACGTACGCAACAATGCCGAAGTCCACGTGAAAAAATTCCAGCCCTTAGTGGGGATTGAACCCGTAACCTCTAGCACGCGAAGCAGACACCATACCTCAAGACCACGCAGCCCCCTACCGCCTATAACAATCAATCAGCGTATCCTTTACAGAACGTTGTTCCCGTCACGACACATCTGAAAGTCTCTCTCTCTCTCTCTCTCTCTCTCTCTCTCTCTCTCTCTCTCTCTCTCTCTCTCTCTCTCTAACCAATTATCCAGCCCTGTGTGCTTTCATAGCCGATGCCTCTTCAATGTCCTGTATCCACATTCGCGGAGGTCGGCCTCCTGCCTTGTTTTCCGTAAACTACACCCTTCATCGTCATTCTGTTCACATCATCATGGCGCTTTTATGTGCTTAAACAAAGAGCTAGAGCTGCTTTTGGAAGGATAAGGCAAATCTGGAAATCCAGCAGTTACTGCAGAGAAACGAAACTTCGACTCTATGAGAGAAACATTTTGCCAGTTCTTCTTTATGGAGCAGAATGCTGGAGAATGGCCAACAAGAATGCACACAAGCTGCCCACATTCCACCAAGCATGTCTAAGTAGAATTATCAAAATGTTCTGGCCAGATAAAATCTCAAACATTAAACTACTTCAAGTCACAAACCAAGAAACTCTAGACAGTATGATAACCAATGGAAAATAGAAATGGTTTGGCCATGTTAGGAGAATGAATCCTAATATACCTGCCAAAACATCTCTCACATGAATACCAGAAGGAA